ACACACACACACACACACACACACACACACACACACACACACACACACACACGTCTCTTGAGGAACGATTCAGGGGAGTTGATGACACAGGTTTCAAGATCTCATAAGGACATGGTCTCGCGAGATACTGATGATTATTGAGTAGAAAGGACGACTCATGATTGTCTTTACATAACAAAAACAAATAAAAAATACAGGGAGACCAGAAAAATACTACTGTCAAATATATTTAACATATTTAACGTAGGCCGATGGTGGGTGGCATATGGAGACGGTATTTAGTGCAAGTCGACATAATTTCCTAAATGACGGAGTTTTTCTTAACGTTAGATATCCTGAACGTCAACAGAAGCTTAGTGTCAAGATGAAGGACTTATAGGTAGCAGCTCCACCTGTACAATACTATCACCATATATTACTCCTCGTACACCTTGCTCCCAAAGCTATGATTGTGTTATGATTCTTAAGGAACTTTGGTTCCACTAAGACACCATCACTACAGCGAACTATTGTACTTTATCATAAGAACATAAGAACATAAGAAAATAAGGAGTCTGCAATAGGCCGGTTGGCCTGTGCATGGCAGCTCCTGTCGAGAGTTACTACCACGCTCTATCATCCATGAATCTATCTAGCCTTCTTTTAAAACTCTCCAGCGTTTCAGCACTTACTACAAAGTTGCTAAGCTTGTTCCACTCGTCCACCACCCTATTTGTGAACCAGTTCCTGCCTATCTCCCTCCTAAACCTAAACTTATCCAACTTAAATCCGTTTCTACGAGTCCTATCCTGCTCGGATATTATAAGAACTTTACCTATATCGCCTTTATTGATTCCTTTCACCCACTTAAATACTTCTATCATATCTCCCCGCACTCTTCGTCTTTCTAGGGAATACAAGTTTAGTTTCTTTAATCTATCTTGATATGGAAGGTTTCTAATGCCTAAAATTATATAAATACTGACATACCTTTAACTTTCTAATTTTAGGTATAATAAGGCAATACTTGTATGATTCTGTTAGTATGTCAGTCACTGTTCTTCACCTTTAATATTCACCTAAATCAGTTTGTTTTAATGTATGTCAAAGTGTCATCGTCGAGGGAATTACTGAACTTGTGTTTTAAATCTTAATATGCTTATGAATTTTAATCTGACGTGCTTCTTCCTCGTATATTTGTAATGGTGGCTCTTGGTCAATAATGTGGGTGTGGAGGTGAGAGGTGCTGGAGGCCGGTAGAGGCGTGTCCCTTTGTGACAAAGGCCTCTGGGTGTGACGTGCTAGACTGTAACCAAGCCCGGAAATGAGAGCTTTGGTTGATTGTCGCTAAATTATCCCAACTGTTGGTGACTATCAGTTTATCTGAACATATAAAGTGGCTTTCTTAGACGCACATTATGACTCTGAACTGTCAGGTAACCTTAATAAGAACCTGAGAGAGAGAGAGAGAGAGAGAGAGAGAGAGAGAGAGAGAGAGAGAGAGAGAGATTATTACTTCCCTCCGCCAAAATATGATCATGGCCAGAGTAAAGTCTCACAATATATGCTGTGACAGTATGTTCGTTTGCCATCGAGTTTAAGCATCAAGTTACATTCCTGATGCGTTTTGGTGGTGACTCGCGCCGCTAGTCTCTAACATACACAATCACGTAAATACCAAGGGTAGATCCAAGGGGGTCCTGGGGGTCCGGACCCCCCCTCCCCTTTTCATAAAACAAATTACAATTCTCATTCTTTAATGCAGTATTGTTCTGAAGCATTTTTGTAAAGTAAAAATAAATTACCATATCTCCTCATATCAAGTGCTCATGACTTCAAAATGGCCTCAAAATACCCATGATATTGGTCAGATTTCAAAACATTTTCTGGGGGCTTACAGCGCCCCACCAAGACCCCCCAGCTGGGTGGGCTCGCTGTGCTCGCCATGTTCCCCCACCCGTTTGATATTCCTGGATCCGCCCCTGAATATTTATCTTTGTAATTTTTGTGTATATGTGAACTTTTGTCTTTAGTTTACGCAAATAATAACTTCTTGGATATCCCCCTTTATTATTATTATTATTATTATTATTATTATTATTATTATTATTATTATTATTATTATTATTATTATTATTATTATTATTATTATTATTATTATTATTATTATTATCTAGGTTTCCGGCAGCACTTCAACACCGATCGGCTGCGAGAAAATTTGTTGGAAATTGCTTGGGTAAGGTAAGTGGTGAGTCTGGTGGCCTGCCCTTCCTGTACTGAACATTTCCTGTACGTGGTTGACTGGTTCACCACCCAACCACCCATAACTCAGCTTCTCCACGTTAACTCCATAATACATTTGTCGCGGGAAAAGACAAGTCAGATGCAGATTTAGGGGAATATACTCAGAAACCTCACAACAGCTACAGATTTAAGTATAAAAGTGATTCCTTAATATATGCCTATTCAGATTAAGTACAAAGTAAGGATACACTAAGTTCCTTGACATACTGCAGAGGAATTGCCTTACATATATACAGTACATGTAATTACCTAAAGCTGATCACACAAAGCGGTTTTAACAGTGTAGCATCTGGGGTGGTTAACTCAGCATGAATTCTAGATAATCTAGATACAGGCTGGTTCTCTCCTTAACTGGCCAGATGGGCGTTGTAAACGCTTTTGCGCTTCAACTTGCACAGGATAACAAGGGGGTGCCCAATAAACTAGCCACCTTGGTGGCAAATAAAAAAAAATATATATATAATATAACTGGTACTGCCTAGTAAGTTCTGGCTGTACTACTTTCATATCTTGGTTATGACGCAATCTTTATTATACCTAACAATAATACTTGTGCTTGTAATTCCATTTGAGTCACAGAAATGGAATGGCCTACAAATATTATTCCTGTTTATCTAAATTTATATATTTCCTGATTTTCCTGGCCAAGTTTTCTGAGTCAGTATCAACATTTAAGATATTTTTCACTCAAATTTCTGACTCTGAGCATATATTTGTGTTTACAAGTGAGAAATCTGAATATTGTATGTTTATCTGAATTTACAAGTGACGCTACTGAATCTGGAAATGTTTCTGTTTTTTTCTGTGATAACATTTGTGGATCTTTCTCTGTATCTGTAAATTATAGTTCTGACTGAGAATCTGTTAATAGCTTGTGATATTCGGGGCAGGAGATGGGGGCAGCTGTAGCAGCAGTGGGGTCCCTCAAGGTGGCGTCAAACCCCGTCTATTTGACTCCTTCGTGTGTCAGGCCATCTAGGAGCACCAAGAACTGCGTACATCCTCTTCCTATAGTCTAGGAACTATCCCTGCCTCTAGTACCCCTAGCAAGTCCCACAGAAGCAGCTATTCGTGGAGTGTTAGGGTGGTATTTAGCAGAGTGGAGGGAGGGAGGGGCGGCGGGAAGTGAGAACCACGTGGTCGATCTGGTCACTCCCACCACGTTACCTCCCTCCCTACTCCCTACCCCACCTCTCCCCCATCATCTCCTTTCTCCTCTCCACCCCTAGGCAAACCTCCCCCCTTCTCCCCCATACTCTACCTCCCATCCCCGGCAACTACCCTCTTTGGAAGGGGGGGGGGGGGAGGGTCGACGCCAGGAGGAGGGACGGAGGGAGGGATCAAAGAATGTGGAAGAGTGGGATAGGTGAGAGTAGTGAGAGTAAGATACAAATATCGAGGAAAGAAATAGATGGGCGAAAAGATGAGAGTATGATATTGGTATTGAAACAGTTTATTTAGCTTGAAAAACACAGATACAGAGTCGATAATAATAACAATATTAACATGACTGAGCCAATTGAGAGCCTGGGCTCTCTTAATGGCACCTGATATATACTGCACATTTAACGCAAGAAAGTATTATGTAACATTTAGTATCATCTGGAATAGTAAACGTAACATCTTGTAAGTAAGAACATCTGGTAATGTCATTATCAGAATGTGAGGAGTCTGCAATAGGCCGGTTGGCCTGTGCATGGCAGCTCCTGTCGAGAGTTACTACCACTCTCTATCATCCATGAATCTATCTAGCCTCCTTTTGAAACTTTCCAGGGTTCCAGCACTTACTACAAAGTTGCTAAGCTTGTTCCACTCGTCCACCACCCTATTTGTGAACCAGTTCCTTCCTATCTCCCTCCTAAACCTAAACTTATCCAACTTAAATCCGTTGCTCCGAGCCCTATCCTGCTCGGATATTATAAGAACTTTATCTATATCCCCTTTATTGATTCCTTTCACCCACTTAAATACTTCTATCATATCTCCCCGCACTCTTCGTCTTTCTAGGGACTGCAAGTTTAGTTTCTTTAACCTATCTTGATATGGAAGGTTTCTAAGTCCCGGAATCATTTTCGTCATTCTTCGCTGCACCGACTCTAGTGAATTGATATCCATTCTATAATAAGGGCACTAGAACTGAACTGCATAATCGAGGTGCGGCCTGACTAGCGCAAGGTATTTGTTCTACCAATATTAAGTACGCTGCACTTGCTGGTGTTGAATTTCATTTGCCATTTTTCAGACCACCCCTGCAGTTTAGTTAAATCCTCCTGTAGTGCATTTGCATCCTGCCCTGAATTAATCTGCCGCCCTATTTTGGTGTCATCCGCAAATTTGCTTATGTGACACAGCTACAACAAGGACACGATATGCTGCCTTACTAGGGTACAGTTTTAGCTGGGATGATTATGATTCGCTGCATATCTAAACTCTAGCCCTTATAGTAACAGAGAGAGAGAGAGAGAGAGAGAGAGAGAGAGAGAGAGAGAGAGAGAGAGAGAGAGAGAGAGAGCCCTTATAGCAAACAGAGAGAGAGAGAGAGAGAGGAGAGAGAGAGAGAGGATAATAAGGGGTGAGAAATAGAAAGAGGAGGGTGAGAGGTGGGGATGCCATAAGAGAGGGTAGGTGTTCCGGAGGAGGGAGGAGGGGAGAGGCGGATGGTTGGCTCGCCATTTTGCGGGTCCCTTGTCATGGTGTGGGCAGTATGGTCGGGAGCGGCGGGGCGAGCGGATCGTCTGTGGCTGCGCTCCGCACCGACACCCCACGCTACACCGCAACTGACATGTTTACCGTGGACTTCTCTCTTTACGTACAAGGACTGTGTGTTTCTAAAACTTGTGCCGGAAGGATCCTCGGTTAATATTTGTGTCCGAAGGTTATTTCTCTTCCATTATACACTCTTGACAGTTCGATAAGGAAGTGAGGACTTTAATGTAATACGCACATCAAGAGGACCTCCCTCCCGTCCACTAACACACTATATCTGGGACAAGACTGACCAACACACGTACAAGAATAGTGTCTTCCTGCCTGTACGTTATCGTACTGAAGACAGCCAGTGTGAGTATATTTTGTCTGCCGTTTATTTAATAATATTACGTATTGATATTCCCAGTTTTACTTTGTGTTATCACCGGGCAGGTGGGTGTGGTGTCTGGTATTATGTGAAAGTATTATAATCATCGGACGAATGGGAGTTGTCTACTTGTGAATGAAGGTGATATGTGTTAATAACTTGTTCCACAGTGAGATATTATGTAGAATTTATTTTATTCAATAATAGGGGTGAACATAGCCTTTGATAACAAGGCATCCGGACATGCGGGTGTGACTAGCAAGAATTACGCAAGACTTACTAGAGTCAACAGGGGTGCTGCACCCTATGTGGGTGAGATGTGACTTGTGATTGTTTTCTGTTTTTGACTGCAAGACGATCACCGATACCGAGTTGTGATAACGGTGATGCTATGAGGGAGATGAGTATATTACATCCACAAAAAATCACAGGAAACGTATTTCATAATAGATGATTACTGGGGAAAAGATCAAATTATCCTAATGCTTACGTAGTATCGTGTATACATGTTGAGACAGTACAGCGGATAGTCAAGAAATCATTGGAATCTTTTCGTGTTTGTTCCCTCTAGTCACGTGGTTACCGCCATAGTACCCCTGTAATTTACTCTTCCTCCCTCAGTCAGGTGAACTTAGTCAAAGTAGATTTCACAGTGTTAGTGGGAGTGATGTGCGTCAAGCCTGATATAGTAATAGGTGGGTTTTAGTTTTTTTGCAAATTGTGGATGTTAGTGTATAAATACGCGTACAGAGGAACACATGTACACACACACCGACCGACATGCGTGATTTGGCAATGTCATGCACGCATGTATGCTCTTATTCATACACACTTGAGCTGACACACAATTATACATTTGCATACACGCACAAACACATGCACACACACACACACACACAATATTGACACTGGACATGTTAGATTTTGCAATGTCATGCAATGCATAAAAGGCCCTTATCTATACACACCCTACACACACACACACACACACACACACACACACACACACACACACACACACACACACACACACACACACACACACACACACACACTCTCATGGTGTTAATTAGCGTATTAGTGAACAGAACAATGACAAACAATAATGAAATTTAAAATAACGAATAATAAAACCAGGAAGTGATAATAAATATACATGTACACTTAACCACACATGTATACAGAGACTTACTGATATATACACACACGAGGGACACATGTACAGAAAAAGGACGTACACACACAATCACACATACAAACCCACCTTAATATGTATACCTATGGAGATACATACCTACACATATGAACATACACACACATATGTAATATATATTCTTGTACAAACATACACACCTTGTAATATGTCCACATGTATACATATTAAAAAAACATGACGATATACAGAGAAAGAGATCGTGTGTTGATTACATTTAAAAATTTAATATGTGAGACAATGGCAGTAAAGCAGTGAGAGAGAGAGAGAGAGAGAGAGAGAGAGAGAGAGAATGGTGTGTGTGTGTGTAGGGAATGATTGATGAATGTTTTGGGAAAGAATGAGAAGGATTGAGAAGGTTAGAGAAATAATAGAGAGAGAAACGGGAGGAAAACGAAAGGGTGGAGGAGCTTCCATGACTCACTAGCAGCAGCCAGACCCGCTGACCTGGTTGTGTCCTGCTCTAGAGGTCCCGCCCGTGTCACCCGGGGAGTGTACGTGGACCTCATAAACTGTACGTGGCTTACACACCGAACGATTGTCAACCAGGGGAGTGTACGTGATCCCTACACTTAGTCCGTGTTATGCAGGAGTGTACGTGACCCATACACCTTGTCCATATTATCTAAGAGTGTACGTGACCCACACACCTCGTCCGTGTTATGCAGAGGTGTACGTAGTCCATACACCTTGTCCGTATTATCTAAGAGTGTACGTGACCCACACACCTCGTCCGTGTTATGCAGAGGTGTACGTGGTCCATATCTCGTCCTTATTATACAGGGGAATGTACGTAGCCCACACGTTGCAAGCGCAAAACATTTACGTAAAACACTGACTTTCACCTGCGTTCTAGGGCGTCGTCATACACTTAAATCATAATATGGCCCGTGTGTGTGTGTGTGTGTGTGTGTGTGTGAAATTAACTGATGTGTATACCTTATGTGTCTTCATTGTGACTGTCTGTCCGTTTTCACAATAATAGTCTTAATTGCCACACCACCGTCACTATTACCACACCGCCGTCACTGTTACCAACACCACCGTCACAGTTACCAACACCACCGTCACTGTTACCAACACCACCGTCACAGTTACACCACCACCGTCACAGTTACACCACCACCGTCACTGTTACCAACACCACCGTCACTGTTACCAACACCACCGTCACAGTTACCACTACCACCGTCACAGTTACACCACCACCGTCACAGTTACACCACCACCGTCACAGTTATACCACCACCGTCACAGTTACACCACCACCGTCACAGTTACACCACCACCGTCACAGTTACCACACCACCGTCACAGTTATACCACCAGCGTTACAGTTACACCACCACCGTCACAGTTACCACACCACCGTCACAGTTACCACACCATCACCATGACCACCACCGTCACAGTTACCACACCCGCACGACAACCTAAAACGCTCCATTGTTTACTTGTCACCTGCCAGTGTTGCCAGATCGTGGCCTTGTACTTCCTCGTACCTCATAAATAAGGAAGGCACGACACTTCACCATCCACTGGTTGATAACTTGTCTTCCTCCTTCACTTGGCTGATAACACCTTGTCTTCCTCCTTCACCTATTTGATAACACATTGTCTTCCTCCTTCACATGGCTGTTAACACCTTGTCTTCCTCCTTCACCTATTTGTTAACTAACACCTTGTCTTCTCCTTCACATGGCTGATAACACCTTGTCTTCCTCCTTCACATGATACTTTCTTCTCCTTCACATGGCTGTTAACACCGTGTCTTCCTCCTTCACATGGCTGATAACACCTAATCTTCCTCCTTCACATGGCTGATAACACCTAATCTTCCTCCTTCACATGGCTGATAACACATTGTCTTCCTCCTTCACATGGCTGATAACACCTTGTCTTCCTCCTTCACCTATTTGATAACACATTGTCTTCCTCCTTCACATGGCTGTTAACACCGTGTCTTCCTCCTTCACATGGCTGATAACACCTAATCCACATGGCTGATAACACCAATCTTCCTCCTTCACATGGCTGATAACACATTGTCTTCCTCCTTCACATGGCTGATAACACCTTGTGTCTTCCTCCTTCACCTATTTGATAACACATTGTCTTCCTCCTTCACATGGCTGTTAACACCTTGTCTCCTCCTCCTTCTCACATGGCTGTTAACACCGTGTCTTCCTCCTTCACATGACTGATAACACCTAATCTTCCTCCTTCACATGGCTGATAACATCTTGTCTTCCTCCTTCACCTATTTGATAACACATTGTCTTCCTCCTTCACATGGCTGATAACACATTGTCTTCCTCCTTCACCGTGCTGATAACACCTGTCTTCCTCCACCTATTTGATAACTAGCACCTTGTCTTCCTCCTTCACCGTGCTGATAACACCTTGTCTTCCTCCACCTATTTGATAACTAACACATTGTCTTCCTCCTTCACCGTGCTGATAACACCTTGTCTTCCTCCACCTATTTGATAACTACAACACCTTGTCTTCCTCCTTCACCGTGCTGATAACACCTTGTCTTCCTCCACCTATTTGATAACTAACACATTGTCTTCCTCCTTCACCGTGCTGATAACACCTTGTCTTCCTCCACCTATTTGATAACACGTTGTCTTCCTCCTTCACCGGGCTGATAACACCGGGACTTAGAAACCTTCCATATCAGGATAGGTTAAAGAAACTAAACTTGTATTCCCTAGAAAGACGAAGAGTGCGGGGAGATATGATAGAAGTATTAAGTGGGTGAAAGGAATCAATAAAGGGGATATAGATAAAGTTCTTATAATATCCGAGCAGGATAGGACTCGGAGCAACGGATTCGTTGATAAGTTTAGTTTAGGAGGGAGATAGGAAGAAACTGGTTCACAAATAGGGTGGTGGACGAGTGGAACAAGCTTAGCAACTTTGTAGTAAGTGCGGGAACTCTGGAAAGTTTCAAAAGGAGGCTAGATAGATTCATGGATGATAGAGAGTGGTAGTAACTCTCGACATGAGCTGCCATGCACAGGCCAACCGGCCTATTGCAGACTCCTTATTTTCTTATGTTCTTATGTTCACCGGGCTGATAACACCTTGTCTTCCTCCTTCACCTATTTGATAACACCTCGTCTTCCTCATTCACCTATATGATAACACCTTGTCTTCCTCCTTCACCGGGCTGATAACATCTTGTCTTCCTCCTTCACCTATTTGATAACACCTTGTCTTCCTCCTTCACCGGGCTGATAACATCTTGTCTTCCTCCTTCACCTATTTGATAACACCTTGTCTTCCTCCTTCACCGGGCTGATAACATCTTGTCTTCCTCCTTCACCTATTTGATAACACCTTGTCTTCCTCCTTCACCGGGCTGATAACATCTTGTCTTCCTCCTTCACCTATTTGATAACACCTTGTCTTCCTCGTTCACCGGGCTGATAACACCCCGTCTTCCTCCTTCACCTTCAACTTGCCGTTAACACTGCAGCTGTCACACAGAAGGACTTGGGGAGTGTACACAGGGTGGTGAGTGTACAGTGTAGTAGTGACAGGAACACAGTGATGGACCAATGACGTATATTCACGCTGCCAGACTGACCGACTGGTTGTACCGTCGTCAAGTTTTTACGTCAGCAATACCGTTTTCTGTTTCGTCTTAATCGACCAGTTCTACTACGAGTCTTTCCTTTTCTTAATTCTTCGGCTTTTCCTCTGTCTATGATACTTATTGTTTTGATTTGTTTTTCTTGCTTCATTGTCTTTATATGTGTC